AATAAATGTCAAGTCTTACATTTGGGTACAAAAAAAATCAACTTCGTGTACAAGGTGGGAAACACGGTTAAACATCAGTTTGTCTGAAAAAAGATCTAAGAGTTACAATGGATTACAAGCACATCTTAAATGTGATATGAGCAAAACAAATAATCTTGGGCTACAGTCATAGCTTCCAGGAACAAAAAAAGCAACTGCACCCTTCTTATTATGAACTTACTGTATCATTGCACAGCTAGGATGTTGTGTTCAGTTTGGGACATGACAGTTTGAAAAGGAAATTGAAAAACTAAAAAGCATCCAGAAAAGGGCAACCAAGAAGGTAGTGAAGGGCCTTAAGTCCATGTGAGTTAATCAGAGGTAGCTGGTCGTGCAGTGGATCTTGTGCTGGGCCTAGAGTTAGGAGACCCAAGTTCAAATCCAGCCTCAGACATTCACTAGCTGGATGACCCTGGGTGAGTTCCTTAACCTTTATGGAAGAGGGTTTGTTTAGACTTCTCCTTGACTCCAGGAGGCAAAAATCAGTAGGAATAGGTGAAAGTTGCAAAGAAGAAAATTTAGGCTTGATTTCAGGGAAAAACTTTCTAACTATTAGAGCAAACCAAAAGTAAAATGGGTTTCCTTGAGAGATGGTGGCTTGCCTCTTCCTTGAAGTTTCCAAGCAAAGGTTAATGACCATTTGTCAGTTATATAAAAGTAAGGATGACTTTGAGGTACAAATTGAACAAACTGTCCATTAAAAGTCCCTTCCAATTTGTAGATTTCGTCATTCTGAACTGAGCCAATATGACTACTTTCTGTTGTCAGTTATTATCATTCCTTCCACCCCAAGCAGCAATCCCCTTTGATCTTCCTCTTTCCCTCAACATAGCTTCTGAATCTTGTTATATGACACCGTGAATTATATTATATTCTGTTAGATTAAGTTCAAAACCCCAAAGTTTCTGCAATTTTAAGTTTTAATAGCTCAAAACACTAAGTCTGCACTAAGACTTTTGGGACATGCTGTATACGCTGGGGCAGGCAACAGCTTTAACAATGCTATAGAATAAAAGAGAAACGATTTTTCTCTTATAGTCTAATGCACATTCTCTCCCTAAGTTACTTTAAAGTAGACTGCTTCATTCTTTGCATTTGTATGTCCACCATCTAACACAATCCCTAGTGAATAGTGATTACTTAATAATTTTTTTTTGATTGATAGCAGGGATAGGGAATTGGATCTTAAAAAAAAGTTAGCCATATCAAGTAGATATTTCCTATTTTCAACTGTAAATATGCAACAAAAAAAGAAACAAATTAATGAAAAATCATGGAAACTTTGGGAGTGTGAACTTGGAATGTAATTGAAACCTGCTATGAATCACTCTCAAGCTATTGCTGTATGTTATGTAGTTCTGTCTCAGAGTTTAAATACTTGGAAAAACAGTAATAGAAATGTTATAGAATCTCTTTCTCTAGTTAAATCCAGGCCTTACTAGCTTCCATTAATCTTACAGAGTAGATATATTTCTTTTCTGCTACTATTTAGATAAAACCTCTACTGAAAAAGAACATATATTATTATTTTAAAAGTTAGGTCTTGTTAGCTAATTGTTAGCTAATTAACTGACATGCTCTTAAGTTAAATAAAAAAACGTTTTTACTTCATTTATTTTCTTCTATTCAGCTGTTGCAGTTCAAAACATCTTGATTTCTAAAATTTTCCTATTTCCTAGTCTAACTGCATCCCACTTTCCAAAGTAATAGTTTCATAGTATCAACTGTAAGCATATTGTTGGAAATACATAATTAAAAAGCTGAGCTTTTAGGTGTTTCTAAGTGTAAGGATTTGGTACCCCATCCCTGCCTCCTTTCTTCCCCCCCAACTCCCTGCCCACTTCAGTCAAGTAGCCACAGGGTTTAAACACAAAAAATTAGGTATTAACACCCCTTATCCCTTCGTCAAGTGTGAATCTCAATTTCTCAATCTTGCTCTCTCTCTTCTTCCTCTTTTCCTTTCCCTCCTCTCTTCTCTCACCCTCTTCTGTCCCTCACATTAAGTCAAAAGGAGTAGTGGTCATAGTGTGAAAAATTGACACACCTTTGGAGGGTTTAAACAGCTAAACTAGAGAATTAAGCAGTTAGAGAGGTCATCAATTTAAATCACTCCAAGCTGCAGCCAGACTGGAGCTACCTGGCCAGTAGAAGACACTCCATTCAGCAGCAAAAGAGTCAGTTCAAGAAAATTCAAAGCACAAGTGAGAGAGATATATACTCTCTAGACGAACACAGATATGGAGGACTGTCAATGGAGGCCAAAAGCAGCTTCAAGGAACGTGATTCCTCTGGAAGGAAAGAAGAAAGCTACCCCTGGCAAACTAAGAGATGGGCTGCATGAAGAAGGACCATCAAGGCCCAATAGTAGCACAGAAGTGAGTAGCTTTGACTATATGTGTTTCCTGTATTTGTACCTCAGTACCACTGTATTCTAAGTTTGTGCCCACTCTTATCATGGATGGTGTGACTTTAATTTGTGGGAGAGAGTGCTGCAAGCTTCTGAAAATGTTTTGTAGCTATTGTTCTAAGTAAGCCATCTTAGTAAATGCTTTTGCTATGAATTCATTGTGTCACCTATCAGACTGTAAAGGGGGAACACATTGGCAGGGCTGTAGTGTTAAGACTGCATACTCACAGGGTTCCTTTACAACCCGAGAGTAGCAGCTGTCCTCTGGGGAACCAACCCATGAGGGTAAGTGCAAGTTGAGGAAGTAGTCTAAAGGGGATGCTAGAGACAAACCCAAGGATCACTGATTGGCAGCTTTTCCTTGCCCCTATTTGCAAAAGAATAAATAAAATTATGGGTTACACCAGACTCGTTTTCTAAAATAGTTCTCAGTGTTATGACTGGTACTTGCCAGCACATCCCCAATTAGAGAACAAAACACAAGCATGTAAGATTAGCTAATTCTCCATTACACTGAATTAGGAATCTTTCAGTTAAGCTATGATTCAGCCCTACATCTTTTCTGTAATTATTTGGTGCTTTAACTTATAATGGGCCTCTGTTAAGTAAGTTTAACCACAAGCTTATATCTGAATGTGCACATCTGTGCTCACAGCTGAAAAAACAGTTATATGTACATTCCCATATAGTTTTGCAAATGTATAGATGTATACATTTTTATGGTTACTAACAACATTTAAACCTACATGTTTAATATTCCAAGCTTCCTCTTGCATTTCCAAATTTCAGTTGCTTGATATCTGCAGTGTAGGATTCCCAAATGTGTCAGTTGATTCCAATCAGCCACAAGTATAATCATGTCTAACAAATTTGCTTCCAAGAATGTCTCCTTTTGTTATTTACTGGCCAATAAGTAATTTTTTTTCAGGGACTGCTTATTATATTTGGAAAATTTATCCAAATTAATATCTGAATACAATGAGCAGCTGCTCTCCAATGCTGCAGCTTTTCTGCAGAGCATAACATCTACTACTGCACCTTCACTACCATAGCAATGACTGTCATACAACAGCTTCGAATGGACTTATTTGTAATGATCTCAGTAGCAGGATACTACACATTCCAAGTTAGTATTGAAAAATTTGAGTAACTCAGACACTTGATAAACACCACCACAATCTAAGCTTTTCCCTTCTTAGCTATGGCTATCTAATCTTTATCCAATTACATTATCTCAGTTTCAAATTCTACGGATCTGAGGAATAAAAAGGTATGAAAACCAAAGCTTCACCACAAAAATGCCCAGCTAGATTACATAAAGATAAAACATTGAAATTAGTGAGCACCTATGAGATAGGAATAATTTTTCCTTAACAAACCTGAAACAAACAAATCAAGCCCCCAGAAAGGTATTCTACCACCCCCTGTTGAAAGAAATGAACAGTACATTAAGTGGGTAGGGTGAAAAGATAGCTTGGAATCCAGTATATTAAGATGTTCTAATTCATTTTATAATTTGATTTTTTTCTTCTGAATAATATGTTTATGCTACATTAAAAATGCATCCCAATTCCCAATTTACAAATTATTTACATGAATGTAATTGTGGCTTCTAAAGAAACATGTTTTAGGTTCCTGTGTCCTAAATTAAATGTCCAAACTTATTTGGACAATTGAGATCATTGCTATTCATTTCTGATAAAATGGTCATCAAGAACACAGTTCTATCTCAACAAAAGCAGAATAAAAGCATATTTAATCACTATGTAGGATAGATGTAGCTGTCACAAGAATCTCTCAAAGGCCAACTGTTCTGCTGTTGACTATTTTTAACATTAATTTTAAGTACAGATAAAAGCAAAAAAAAAAGCCCTAACCATAATCTATTTTATAAGACATTGTTCTAGATGCTTAGCATGTTAACATTTTAAGAAATCGAAAATGAATGGCTGCAATGCATCCCTAGTTTTACAAACCCTTTGCTTTCCTTTACACAGCATCCAAGACCCTTCTTTTAGTTTCCAACAGAAATAAACTATCCTCATTCACTTCTTATTCAGAAAATGAGATCTTGAAAAAGAATCTCGAACTATTTCTTCTTAAACACAGGGAGATTTCCTCCAAAAAAGCAAGTTTAATGAATATAATATCTGTGACTTCGGGGGGGGGGAACCTAACATCTCCCCCTTTCTGCGGAATATTTTAAAACATTTAACATCAATACACATGTAAATAACAACCACATTTTGGACAAAATTCTGTAGAAGAAGAGCTCTCTTTAAAGAGGCAGTTTGTCACATCTTCCTGCTATTCCATCTTTTCTCCAGTTCGGTCATTTTCCTTCTCATATCTATATGAAGTAGGAAGGCATTCTAATTTTCAGTGTAAACAAAAAGGGGGGGGGAAGGTACTGCTTTAGCTCTTTCATTTAATTTCTTCTGTCCCTCCATTATCTCTTTTTCTGCTTTATTGCTTTCTTGGTTTGAAGGGAGAAGGGACAGGTAAATGAAAAACACGACCAAACAACAGCCCTGCACACACAACGCGGTCCTACCTTGCCCGTTACTGACAAACAATCCCAGCAAGTAGAAAGCAAAGAAAAGGTTCATCTTCTGGAGATGACACTGGTAGGCAGCCCCAAAAACGACTGTGTCCAAGAGAGGAAAAAAAAAAACCCCTCTGCTGCTGGGATGCTGCTGCTGCCGCCGCCGCCGCCGCTGCTGCAGCTTGTGCAGGAGCGGCTGCCCACGATCCTTGCAAAGGGACTGCGAGCTCCTCTGTAGCCAAGTGGGAGCTGAACTGGAGGAGGAGGGAAGGGAAGGAGGAGAAGGTGGAGAGGGGGAAAGAGAACTTGTTTTTCGGATTGCACAAAGTATCCCTCCGCACGCAACATGATCAGGTGCACAGTGCCTAAAGAGGATTCGTCCGCGCCAGGATTCAGCCCAGTCGCGAAGCCCCTTCCTCCCGCTGGACCCCCACTCCCCCACCCTCTCATTGGAGGGCTGGAGTAACCCGCGGGCAGGACATTCTGCGCCCCTGGGCAAGGGCACCAGGATCACCCGCTAGCGTGCCAGCCTGGCCTTTTGGAAGGGCTATCCTGACCTTCAGGGCAAGGCGCTAGTAGTGATCTCAACTAACTGTTGTCTGTGCAAGAGGCTCCTATAGCGTGGACAATGGCAGAACAGGGCTTGTGGCTGTGCGGTGTGTTTAGTAAACGTATATTTTACTACCTTTTCTATTTTCAGTGTGACTTCTCCCCTCTCTTAATTCCCCAAATCTCTGCCTGAGATGGAAAATTCAGGTTTTGTACCTTCTAAAGCTTCCATCCTGGCAAAGCAGAAAGGAAGACAATTCTCCATTTCCGTTTACTGTGGTGGTGTCTGGGGTTCAGGACTATTCTGGGTTGAGAAAGGGTTTCACCAATATTTATTTTCCATCACCCTCTACTGTTCAGCTGCTCAAGGATGAAAAGCACTTGTGGATGCTAAGTGATACAGGATGAGCCTGGAGAAACTCAAAGGGAAGTTACCTAGCAAAATGTCTTAAATCCCTTGCTTCAAATTCCACTGTTGTCCCCCAGATCCCACTAACACCCTTCCAGATTCTTATCACAAAACTAGGTTTCCCCACTGTGTAATTATTTATTGGAAAATCTACCTGGGTTAATGGTGGACTCATTTACCTTTCCACCACAAGGAAGAAGTAAAGACGCTTTTTCTTTCCTTTTTTTTTTTAAATTTAAAGGAATGTGTGGTTCCCTCAGAAATAACCCTCCTTAAGGTTATTTCTAATGAAAGGAAGATTAAATATTTATCAGTAAGATGTCAAACTTGAGAGCAAGAATAGACATGGGCCAGAACACTGGTCCCACTTCCACTACCTGCGTCCCACTCAGAGTTACTGTGTCTGGAGAAAACTGACTTTTTTGTTCATTTGCTCCTATGTTTTAACAGCACAAATCAGTTCTAGCTAATGAGCAGATATCCACACTGACAAAATCACCAGTACTAGAGATCACCATCAAAGACAACTGATTCCAAATTTCTAGTTGTTAAAGAATAAAGGGAAGATGGCATAGATATTGTTCATGGGGCATGGGATTCAGCATTCCAAAGAGGATTGTATTTGAAGTGTAAGGATGGAATTGAAATGCTTTCATTTGGCACTCATGCCTTGGCTAGGTATATATGTTTTGTGGTTGAATTGAGCAATCTAAAAAAGATGAAGATGAAGCCAGGATGTCAGAGAAAAGGCAGGGACTCACCTGAGCTTTCTCTAAAACACCTTCAAAAACCTTTTAAGTAATACCCTAAAACAGATTTGGGAAGCGCAGAACCTACAAAAAGATGGGATGAAATAATTTTCTGGCCAAATACAATTTAGAAGTTTGGCAGGAAAGGTCTGTTGCATTGGGGTGAGAATAAGAATAGCCCACTGTAGGCCATGCCCGCACAGACCTGGCTCCAGTGCAGACCACGTCCTAGCAAACCAGGAGCAGGCCTTGGGAACCACTGAATTAGCAGTGACAGAGGCTGCTTCTGGAGCTCTCAACCCATAGATGGTAAGGGGCTCAAACAGCTGGTCAGAAGGAGATCCCAGAGGTCTCTTTGCTGGCCCTGAGAACAAGACTCTGTTGCTTTGCCCATACTCGGATCTGGGTCACAGTCATGGGTGGCAATCTCAGGGCAAGGAGAAGCACTAGCACACCAGAGCTTGCAGCCGCAGGGGAACGGTAACCCTCATTACAATTCCAGGACAGAAGAGAATGCTTGTGGGCACTCAGTGACCAGAGCACGGGCCAGGAGAGTAGTAAATACACCTCTCCTTAGATCATACCACCTTGGAAAAGCTGAAAACTTATAGGACCCTAGAATTACCTCTGAAAACAGCTGTACAAAACCCTTGAAGCTTGGGACAGTGCATACTCTGCCCTGGAAACAAAGCCCCACTTTAACAAAAGGTTGAAAGTCAAGAAATGGCTGGAAAAATAAGCAAACAACAGAAAAAAATTCCGATCTTAGAAGGTTAATATAGTGACAAAGAAGATCAAAACATACAATCAAAAGAAGATAACAAAGTCAAAACTCCTATAATCCAAAGCCTCCAATAAAAATATGAATTGGTCTCAGGCCATGGAAGAGCTCAAAAAGGATTTTGAAAATCAAGTAAGAGAGGTACAGGAAAAATTGGGAAGATAAATGAGAATGATACAAGAAAAATATGAAAAACTAGTCAATAGCTTGGTAAAGGAGTCACAAAAAATTACTGAAGAAAATAACATCTTAAAAAAACAGGCCAAATGGTCAAAGAGGTCCAAAAAGCCAATGAGAAAAATGCCTGGAAAAGAAGGATTGGTCAAATAGAAAAAGATATACAAAAGTTTACTGAAGAGAAGAATTCCTTAAAAAGCAATATTAGCCAAATGGAAAGAGAGGCACAACAATTCACTGAAGAAAAAAACTCCTTAAAAAGTAGAATTGGCCAAATGGAAAAGGAGGTACAAAAGCTCACTGAAGAAAATAATTCCTAAAAAAGTAGAATTGAGCAAATGGAAGCTAATGACTTTATGAAAAATCAAGAAGCAATAAAAAGATGAAAGAATGAAAAATATAGAAGAAAATTTGAAATATCTCATTGGAAAAACAAATGAACTGGAAATAGATCCAGGAGAGGTGATTTAAAAATTATTGGACTACCTGAAAACCATGATCAAAAAAGAGAAACCATCTTTCAAGGAAAATTGTCCTGACATTCTGGAACCAGAGGGTGAAATAGAAATTGAAAGAATCTGCTGATCAATTTCTGAAAGAGATCTCATAATGAAAATTCCCAGAAATATTATAGCCAAATTCCAGAGCTCCCAGATCAAGGAGAAAATATTTCAAAGGAGCCAAAAAGAAACAATCCAAGTATCATGGAGCCACAGTCAGGATAACACAAGATTTACCAGCTTCTGCATTAAAAGATCAGAGGGCTTGGAATATGATATTCCAGAGGGCAAAGGAGCTAGGATTACAACCAAGAATCACCTATCCAGCAAAACTGATTTTAATCCTTCAGGGGAAAAAATGGACATTCAATGAAATAGGGGACTTCCATTCTTGATGAAAAGACTAGCGCTGAATAAAAAATTTGACTTTCAAATACAAGACTCAAGAGAAGCAAAAAAGGTAAACAGGAAAGGGAAATCATAAGGGGCTTAATAAGATTAAACTGTTTACATTCATACATGGGAAGATAATACTTGTAACTCACAAGAACTTTCTCATTATTAGGGCAGTTAGAAGGAATATATGTTATGTATACACACACACACACAAAGGCACAGGTGTGAGTTGAATATAAAGGGATAATATCTAAAAAATAAAATTAAGGGGTGAGAGAGAGGAATGCACTGGGAGAAAGGGAAAGGGAGAGGTAGAATAGGGCAAACTATTTCACATAAAAGACAAGGAAAGCTTTTACAATGGAGGGGAAGCTGGGGGAGGTGATGGGAAATGCTTGAACCTTACTCTTATTGGAACTGGCTCAAAGAGAGATTAACATGCACATTCAATTGGGCATAGAAATCTATCATACCACTGCAGGAAAATAGGAGGAGAAAAGGATAAGAGAAGGGAGGTGGCAGAAGGGAGGGACGATTGGGGAAGGTGATAAGTCAGAATCAAAACACTTTTGAGAAGGGATAGGGTGAAAGGAGAGAGAGAATAGAATAAAAAAAGGGGAGGGGAATAGGACGGAAGGAAATACAGTTAGCAATCATAACTGTAAAAAAATTTTTGAAGCCAAGTTTCTCTGATAAAAGCATCATTTCTAAATAAAACTTAGTCAAATTTATAAAAATAAGAGCCATTCCAGAGTTGAGAAATGATCAAAAGATATGAAGTCAGTTTTCAGATGAAGGAACCAAAGCTGTCTATAGCCATAGGAAAAAAATGTCCTAAATCAGTATTGATTGGAGAAATGCAAATTAAGAAATCCTGAGGTACTATTTCACACCTATTACATTAGCTAATAGGATAGAGAAGGAAAATGACAAATATTGGAGAGGATATGGGAAAATTGAGATGTTAATGCACTATTGGTGGAAGTTGTGAACGAATCAAACCATTCTGTAGAGCATTTTGGAACCGTGTCCAAAGGGCTATGAAACCATGCATACCTTTTGACCTAGCAATAAGGTCTGTGTTCCAAAAGAGATAAAAAAGGAAAGCACCTATATGTACAAAAATATCGATAGCAGATCTTTTCTGTCCATCAACTGGAGAATGGCTGAACAAGTTGTGTTAAATGATTGTGTTGGAATACTATTTTTGCTATAAGAAATGGTGAGCAGGATGCTCTCAGAAAAACCTGGAAAGACTTACATGAATGCATGCAAAGTGAAATGAATAGAACCAAGAGAACATTGTACACAGTAACAGAAATATTATAAGGTGATCAGCTGTGAATACCTTAGCTATTCTCAGCAATACAATGATCCAAGACAACTCTGAAGGACTTATGATGTAAAATGCTATCCATCACCAGAGAAGGAACTGATAATGTCAGAATACAGATGGAAGTATATATTTTTTACTTCATTTTTCCTGAAGGTTTTTTTTGGGGGGGTCTGTATTTTCTTTTACAATATGACTGATATAGAAATATTTTTACATGACTACACATGTATAACTTATATCAAATTGTTTGCCTTCCCAACGAGAGGGGTGGGGAGGGATGAAGGGAAAGAATATGGAATTCAAAATTTTAAGAACGAATGTTAAAAACTGTTTTTACATGTAATGGGGGGGGAGTGAAATATTAAAGAGGATGAACAGGACCTGGACAGTCATTTTGTGAGAGATTAGGTCCTACTATAGA